TTTTCCTTTGGCATGATTGTTAGAGGCTTAGTAGAATCACAATCAGAAACATAATGTCTTTATTGTCATTGTTACAGGTACAACGAAATTAAAAGTGGTAACACTGACATGTTGTCTCCCTTTACAGTATCCTTTCCCCATCATCAAGAAGGCGTGGGAGCTTGGTCTGGTTAACGGTCACATTCCACAGGAATATGGTATGTTGCATTCTTATTTGAAATTTAGTGGCTCATTCTAAACTTTGCTTTGCATGGATGAGATTCATTCACAGGTAAAATATTAGTGCAGTCTCCATCATACCATACATGTTGCCTTTACATAAAGAGATAATACAGATAGCTGTAATGTTGTTGCCTAGTGTGACCATGTTTGCTGTTCCTGGGGGGAAATGGCAGTGGACATGTGTTAATTTCAGGAAACTCGACACACTGAACACTGCATTTGAAAACCTTATTTGTTCCTCTTTGTTTTCAGGTGGAATGGGTTTGTCGAGCTTTGACAGCTGCCTCATCACAGAGGAACTGGCTTATGGATGCACAGGGATGCAAACTGCCATGGAGGCAAACTCTCTCGGAGTAAGTTATTCACAGCTTGCTTATTTATTTATTTATTTATTTATTTATTTATTTATTTATTTATTTATTTAAGGCCCACCAAGACACAAACCTAGAACCAGATTTAGAGCCTTTAAACTGGCTTTGTAACTTGTTTAAATATGTTTTAGAACCTGTTGTTGCAACTGATCCACCAAAAATGGACTGCTGCCAAGCATATTGTTTATTTAGCAAATTATTACAGATACAATTTTGCTTCAAGGGGCCATATATTATCAGAATCTGACTCTCATTCCACATTCAGAGGAGAAAATGTCTCCTAAAGTAAGGGAAAAGGAGAAGTCTTAGCCAGAGAGGCATAATTTTTCAGTACATATGGACAGGAATCGGAGCAGGTGCCTCTGTCAGTGCGCCCCAGGGCAGCTGTGGCTACAATGTAGCTTGCCATCACCAGTGTGTGTGAATGGGTGGATGACTGAATGTAGTGTAAAGCGCTTTGGGGTCCTTACGGACTAAGTAAAGCGCTATACAAATACACTCCATTTACCAAGAAGACAATTTAAAACGAAAGCCAATAAACAAGAGTTTGGCAGCAGGACAGAACTCGTATCAGGGATGATTAAAAGGTTATTTTGAACCCAGGGGGGAAACTTGGGGTTTATGTAATCAGCCATCACGGGCTCTGGAGCCGGCTTTTGACTGTTCATCAGCCAGCTGTTTAGATTCACACGTACAAAAGTATTTCATGTTAAGAAAATAAGGCTAATGATGTTTTCCCAAAGTTTATTTCATGCATATTGAGCACAGAGGAGAAGAGTAGCTCTGTTAGAATGAACTGTATCTGTTTTCCCCCACACAGCAAATGCCTGTCATTATTGCTGGCAGTGATGCACAGAAGAAGAAATACCTGGGACGGCTGACTGAGGAGCCTCTCATGTGTGTAAGTATTTAACTGGAAACGATGACATGATTTGATATTTGGAAGAATGCAGCATCTAGTGATATTGCTTGTTCTGCAGTAGTTCAATCATCTACTGCAGAACATGCATACAGATAAGAGTGCCCTCATATATTTTAAGGAATATTTCTTTCCTCTGTAATATTTGATAGGGAAATATTAGATCTTTAACTGTCATGGTTACTACTCTTGATTTTAGTTAAGTGTCAATGTGCCAAACTGTCATCTAGAATTAAAGTACTTACAAACATTCAGTTCAGGTGTTTCTTGTGGAGAATGATGGCGTCATATTTTGAGGTGCCAATTCTCATTCTTGCTGTTTCACACTTGGGTGCGAGCCTCTGCAGTGTCAGCTGGAGGCTGTTGATTTATCCCTCTAAATCACTAACCTCACTTATGGCTATGAGCTCTGGGTAGTGACCAAAAAAAATAAGATGTGGATGCAAGTGGTGGTTTTCTCTGGACTGGCTGGCCCCTTCCTTGGTGATGGGGTGAGAAGTTCAGTCATTTGGGAGGGAGTCCGAGCAGAGGTGCCGTTGCCATATGGCACAATGAGCAAGCTGATATGGTTTGAGGATCTGATTGAGATTCCTTCTTGGTGCCTCCTGGGTAAGGCGTTCTGGGCATGTCCTACCAGGAGGAGGCAGAGATTATATCTCTTGGCTGGCCTGGGCACACCTCGGTGTGTAATGAGCTGGAGGAGGTGGCTGGGGAGAGGGAGGTCTGGGCTCTTCTGCTTGGGCTGCTGCCTCTGAGACCTGGCCCTGGATAAGCAGCAGATGATCAGGCTCAAACTTCTCCGTGAATGAATTTCCATAATTGGGACTGAAAAGGCTACCCAGTGAGACTTCCTGTTTCTGTAAGGGAGAGTTCTTACTAAACTGTTTCTGCTAATTTAATGAGGAATTCTGTGGACGGAATTCCGTAGACCTCAGTGGAAATCTGTAATATTCAGTGGACTCACGAGCTTATCTAGCAGCACTACTGGATGACCTTTATCAACATTAGCAAATGACAAATCATAACTGAGAGATCTTTTTAGAGCCTTTCATGCAGCGAGAATTTTAAAAAGAACATTTTGTTGCTCTGGGAAAAACAAAGAACCCAACTTCTTCAACTAAACAACAAAGTTGGTACAGAGGCATTAGATCATTAGATTCTGGTGCAAATAAAGAATTTCCTAGATTTTAATTTCTTAATTGTAATCCGCTAATTGTTTGCTCCTCATTTTGGTAAATGGTTTGTACAGAGGGAGTGGTGTCCAGAGTCTTTACATTCATTGAAATAATTTGGTGTTATTGCAATTAAGTGTTGCTTGTAAATATATTGACACTTTTATTTTTATTTTTTTAAGATGGTTTAAAAAGAAGATAATTCCTGATTACTTAACTGTCTGTTTGGATAAGTTGATTTATGCTGGATGTCCTGAAGTCCTCTTTGCGTGTCCATCTGTACCTCCTGCCACTCTGTTATGATGACTTTTTTTGGTGCAAACCGTTCTGCTCGGTGATGCTAAAAAGTGGATCACTACTTCAGTGGAGAGCCCGTCTGATGACTGGTTGCCTACCCTTTCGTGCTCTCTGTGCATCCTTTCCATCCACTGGGATCACCAGTTTGATGTTCCATGCGTATAATCCAGCACCTCCTGTAGACGCTTCTTGAGCTTTATCACAGAAAGTTCTTCTTTATAGGAACTTTTGTAATCTTTAAGTCGCTATGACCCACCTAAAACTTTGAAGGACACTGGCAGGCAGTTACATCACAAATGTCTTTAATATATGGTAGCAGAAACGAACACATTTCAGCCTGTGGCTTCAGTTTCTACGACCTGTGGCTGTGACTCTTTTTAAAGCACCACCTTAACATATGGTGGGCGCAGGTGACGTCAATAATCAACCCAACAACAACAAACACAATGACAGAGCATTTTAACTTTCAAGTTTGTTTATTAATACCCTTTATAGAATAAATGGTAACAAATGAAGGAAAGTTTGTTTGTGTAGGAGACTTTGAACAACAAGGCAGTTCAGAGTGCTTCTTGTTATACCGTCATGCCTTATTTATCTTGTAAAAAGGACCATAAACTCTGTGTTTTACTACTGTGTGCTGACAGCAGCAAACATGCAATGAAAGACTGTGCTGCTGTTCTCAGTTTAACTCCTGTGTGGGTTTCTGCAGGCGTACTGTGTCACTGAGCCCGGGGCAGGATCTGACGTGGCTGGCATCAAAACACGAGCCGTAAAAATGGGCGATGAGTATGTTGTTAATGGGCAGAAGATGTGGATCACCAACGGAGGGAAAGCTAACTGGTGTGTGCTCACAGTTGCTGCTGATGTATTGCAAAGTTGTAGTGATCAGTTTTAAAGGGCATTCGTCCTCAAGGCCACTCTGAATGCTGAAATTTGCACTACTTTTCTATCTGACTACTACAGCAACTTCTGTCTGGTAATTTAGTCTCTAATACTTTTAGGTACTTCCTGCTTGCTCGCACTAACTCAGATCCCAAGTGTTCAGCCAGCAAGGCTTTTACTGGCTTCATTGTGGATGCAGACACTCCGGGAATTCAAATAGGAAGGAAGGTGAGCTGAAAAAGAGTCTTTTAAAACATTAATCACATTCTTCAGTGAGCAAATCATATTTTAAATGTTGCAGAAGTTTGATGCTCTGTTCTATAAACATTAGACGTGTAATGTCAGATAATTACTTTACTGAGTAGTGCAAATGATAGCGTTGTTTGTTAAAAATTATATGTAATAAAAGGAGGAAAAATGTTCAGTTTGTAAATGTATCCCATTTTAAATTTTATTTTGTTTTTGTGCCTGTAGGAAATGAACATGGGCCAGAGGTGTTCTGACACGAGGGGCATTACCTTTGAGGATGTGAGAATACCGAAGGAGAATGTCCTGATCGGAGAGGGATCTGGATTCAAAATTGCCATGGGTGCCTTTGACATGACCAGGCCACCAGTAAGTTTTCCAGCTGTGACAAAACCTAACATCTGTAACGACTGTGCATAGCTTCATCTTTACAAGAAGTAAAGGCATGATTCATCTTTTGGCATCAAATTATATCTGCAAATAAAAGGATTAGAAATTGGAGTGCAAAAATCTGAAGTTATTGGTCTTTAAAGGTGTTAAGCAGTGGATTCCCCCCCCGTCATTTGAATCTAATTTAACTTGCTACAGTTTAAGGGACATATATTGTGCTCCTGGAGAATTAACACTTGCAGCTAAGGAGAATATCTTATTATTTTCACTGTCTAATATTGATCAAAGTTGTCTCTGAGCTTGTAGTTTGAGTGTGACTCAGCAGTACAAAGATGCACTAGTGTGGGCTCTTAAATTTTCAAACGTGTGCTAACAAATATGAACCATGATTTAAATGGCGATAATTGGGTGCCAGCTTGGCTCAGTGGTTGACCATGTGATTGCATGGCCAGAAAAGCAGCGGTCCAGGTTAAAGTCTGACCTCCTGCCCTTTGCGGCCTGTTTTCCCCTCTCTCCCCGCTTTCCTGTCAGTCCACTGTCTCTATCCTATATAGGCAAAATGCCAAAGAAAACCCTGGCTTTGTTTCAGTTTATGAGCTGCCTCTGTTACAACAGGAACTTTGAAATGTAGTAAAACATCAGCAGGAAACTAAACAAGGACTACAGTGGATGCAACATCACCAGATTTAAGGACAAAAGTTTAAACTTGTAGCTGAAGATTTGTCTGAGCATGGTTGTTCATGTATTTGCTCCAATGCAGGTGGCAGCAGGAGCTACCGGCCTGGCACAGAGGGCGCTCGACGAAGCCACCAGTTACGCTCTGGAGAGGAAGACCTTTGGCAAAGTTATTGCTGAGGTGTGTTCATGCATTTTGTTTGTCCTTTAAAATCTGGGTATCCTTAGTTGGACTGCTTTTGTTTTAAACTCAGATGAAGAAAAGATCAACGTGCTTCTTTTCTTGTTTCGCAGCACCAAGCTGTGTCCTTCCTCCTGGCTGAGATGGCGATGAAAGTAGAGCTGGCTAGGATGGCGTACCAGCGTGCTGCCTGGGAGGTGGACCAGGGCCGCAGAAACACCTACTACGCTTCCATCGCCAAGGCCTTCGCAGGGGACATCGCCAATCAGGTGGCCTCTGATGCTGTTCAGATATTTGGAGGCAACGGCTTCAATAGCGAGTACCCTGTAGAGAAGCTCATGAGGGATGCAAAGATCTACCAGGTGGGTGACAATAATGTGCAACTATGCACTACTACACCATCTCGGCTTCATCTTCTTTAATTAATCTGATTTCTTTTGTAGATCTACGAGGGCACAGCTCAGATCCAAAGGCTCATTATTGCCCGAGAACACCTGGGAAGAGCCAAGAAATGAAGTCTGCTCATCATCATTTAAACTTACTTTTCATGTTTGGTATACATAATGTATTTGTTTCTGTTCTATTTGGCCACTTGAACTCAGGATAACGATCAAAGTTTTGCATTAATGTCACTTCATCCTACTGCGGTTTTCAAGAGTGATCCAGATCACCAAGACTCATCAGCCTCCTTTTGCCTCAGAATTCACGATGCCATAAGTTACACCAATCCATCAAGTCGCAGAATATGACACAGCTATGTGCTGATCACAGAACAGTTTCTGTTAATGATGATGGTGGGGGCCTATTGTGTAGCATTAATAGTGTGATCTACCAATTGCCTGTTGTGCTGTGAAGCTTCTGCTGATGAACCAGAACTGTTGGGACTAAAGTTGGTGCAAGCCTAGTCCTTTTTTCTAACCTTCAGCCTTACTCTGTTGCTGCAGTACTTGAACAGTGTGATTGGTGTTTGATCACATTCACTCTTCTTTGCATCAGGAGTTTGATAAATGGTCATTAATTTCTTCATGCCTTACTCTAAGCCTTTTCTCTCAGTTCTGACTCTCATACTGATCTTTGCTTGTTTTTTTTTTTAAAAACAAAAGGTTTTAAATGTAGAAATGAATTTCTTGCCAGAATGTGTAAACATACTGATGAGTGTAAAATTGCATGCTGTCTGAAAACAGTTTGATTTTACATTTAGCTGCTGTCTCTTCTAGATTTCAAATGAATATCCAGTGTAAAGCGTCAGCTTTACGGCTTACCTGTGCAGACAAGGCACGTGTGGATGAGCTGACGATAGACCGTTGTCACATCATAGAGAATTGTGTCCATAAATTGTCACTGAATAAATTATTTCATTCAGTCTAAACATTTATTTTTCTTTCTTCTCCTTTCTCCCATTTGCTAAATAAACAAGCAATTTGAGTCTTTTCTAAATTTCATTTCTTCTGAGTCCTCCACGTGAAAGGACTCATGAGAAAGCTCATTACCTAATGACAGAGCATTCACAACCATGTTGTTGTTTTTTTTGGTTTTTTTATTTTATTTCTTTTTATTGCAAGCTTCACTTGTTAGGAATCTGTCAAATATTCATTATATTTATTAAAACAACTTCTTTAACTTTAAAAAGTCTGCTTCATTTTCAGTTCTGTAATTGAAGTAATCTGTGTAGATGACAGCCATATAGTCTTCAAGACACAACAGCAGCACTAATGTCCTTTATGTAAAGGCTAGTTGTAAGACACATTGCTCATGTGTGGGTTGGTTAGAATCCAGTCTTCTAGGGGGACAGAGTGGGGAGTGAGTTGAGGAAGGAAGGAGTTCAATATTTTGAAGCTGTGTATCAGTCTGATGGAGGAGGTCACCACAATACTGACTGCTAGGCAGGTGTTACAGTTGTCGAGGAGGGAGGGCAATGAAGCAACCAGTGATCTTTTCTGCTGCATTTACTATGTGATTCAGGTAGAGTTTCCAAACCACACAGTGATGTAGCTGGTCATAGTGTTTTCAGTGGTGCCTTGCTCGAAGTTGCACATGATGGTTATGGAAAAATAATTGCAGTGGGAAATTTTCCCCCAACACTGCAAAAATAAATGACTTGAGTAAGATACCTGAACATTTGTGCTTAAATATATTCGAGTAACAAATATCACTTCAAATATGAGGATTTAGGCTGCAGTTCTCCTTCCAAACCAATAGGTGGCAATAACGCGCTCCAAACCAACAGCCCGAATTGTTGTAGAAGAGGAAGAAGGAAAACGCCGGATCATGTCAGAATGGTAACTAGCGACCTGTTTCCAGTGTGATAACGAGTGTAGTTTAGGATAACATTACAATAAAATATTATGTAAGTGTGCTCTTTCCTCTAGTCTATCCAAACTTAGTCCCACACAAGCGAGCTAATCAGTGAAAGCAGCTAGCAGAGTGGCTAAGATGTTAGCATGTAGCAGCCTGTCAACAAGCCGTGAATCATGTTAACAGTCAGCCATTTATCTGCTAAACAGGGGTTAACTCAGCGCTAGATTACGAAGAGGAAGAAGTCAAGTTTGATTTTTTTTCAGGTTATTGCGTTTTAAGGCTGTCTGACGTGTTGTTGATGTGTGTTGAATTTCAGGGGACCCAGGTGAAAGATGTGATCATAAAGCCCGACGCTCCCAGCACGCTGCTGCTGGAGAAACACGCAGACTACATCGCTGCCTACGGCTCCAAAAAGGACGACTATGTGAGCACAGGCCTCATCAGAGCCTTGATATCTGTGTTTCTATTCTGGGCTTGGCCACTTGCAAGCAAAGGGTGGTCGTTGTCATCCCGCCACTCGAGTGATGACAATGTTCCTACCCAAAGAAGATGAGGAGTTACTGAATGGGATGAGAAAGTGTGGGCCTCAAATTCTAAGGGGTCGCTGAATGGGTGGTCTTGAAAACCTCCAAAAACAATCCAGTTGAGCTTCTGTGGTAGACTTTGGAGTTCAGAGGGGCAATCACTAAAAAGCAGCCAATGTTTTTGAACTAACGCTGCTGACCTCTGGTGTTTTGTCAGGAGTACACGCTGTCTGAGTACTTGAGGATGAGCGGCATCTATTGGGGGCTGACTGTGATGGACCTGATGGGGGAGCTACCCAGAATGAACCAGCAGGAGATCGTAGACTTCATCAAAGCCTGTCAGCACGAGTGTGGAGGCATCAGCGCCAGCATCGGACACGACCCCCACCTGCTCTACACCCTCAGTGCCGTCCAGGTAGCAGATTACTCTCGTATTCTCTACAGCTTTAATTCTAGATGATACACTGAACTTTTAAATATTTATATGTGCTTTAATATTTCTGAATTGGCCCCTCTTTAGCAAAATTTTTTAGCAGTTCTAGTGTTTATTCCTCTAGATGTTTATTTATTTTTCTTCATAGTGCTGCTTATATTTAGCTCAAATAAACATCTCAAATTATGTCCCATAGTGTCTGGTCTGTAAAGGAACTTGAATGGTCTGCACATGGTGTATTTTATGTTCTCTTGTTTATTAGTATTTTGTGAACTCTCTTCCTCAGATCTTGTGCTTGTATGACAGCGTAGATGCGATTGATGTGGACAAAGTTGTGGAATATGTGAAAGGGCTGCAGCAGGAAGATGGCTCTTTTGCGGGGGACAAGTGGGGTGAGTGAGTTTTACTCTCACATCCCACAATACACGTGCTTCTAAGTTAGGGAAGAAATAAATAAAGCTAAGAACAATTTTTCTACATTTTTTTTGTCTTTGCAGGAGAAATAGACACACGGTTTTCCTTCTGCGCTGTTGCTACACTCGCATTACTGGTATGTATGTTAGTCTTTCTATGTAAATTATTATGTACATGATTTATTATTTAACTTAAAACTTTTTATAGTTGAACCTGTTTTAGAAAGTCCATTACTTGGCAGTGTTATGTGGGAGCATCGGACTTTATTTTGTGTCGATAAAATGAAGCTAAATAAATAATAAAGTTACACAATATCACAAAGTTCATCAGTTGACTCAACAGCTCTTTCATTCTTAAGTCTTAACAAGCATGTTTTAATAAACTGTTAATTTAAGCTCATTATACTTCATTTTAAGATGTTTTTTGTTTCCCAGGGCAAGATGGACACGATCAATGTTGACAAAGCCGTAGAGTTTGTTTTGTCATGTATGAACTTTGATGGAGGCTTTGGATGCAGACCTGGTTCTGAGTCTCATGCTGGTCAGGTGAGTTCACTGATATACTGATATTTACTCCCACAGAAAAGTTTGGAGACTCTCAGAAGTGTTTTGTTTCTATTTGATAGAAAATAGAATTGAGCAAAATTGCAATTATTTGTCAATAGATTCAATAATCATAACAATTTCATTTTTTAATGAATTGCTGTCAGACAGTAAATCAATCTTTTTGAACAAAAGCAGCAAAACTCTTTCAAGTTTCAACCTAAAATAAAATAAAGGAATGATATGTTAAGTTGACACTTCCTGCCTGATTTGCTCCTGCACACCAGTCTTGTTGAATGAAGCTGACTTATAAATGAGGCCAAGACAGTTGCAGTGTAAGGATGACGTGTTCAACCTGGATGGTGGTGAATTTGGCACTTTAGGATCAGTTGTTATTTAAATCAATTTCCGGTGTTTTCCTTCCTGTCTGTCAGATTTACTGCTGCACTGGCTTCCTGTCGCTCACTGGCCAGTTACACCAGTTGAACGCTGACCTGCTGGGGTGGTGGCTGTGTGAGAGACAGCTGCCGTCTGGAGGCCTGAATGGTCGACCTGAGAAGGTTTGTGCCAAACACTGTGAAGTATTGAGTTACTTAATGAAAGTATCTGGTTTTATAGTTTGAAGTTCAGACTCCTTCGCAGTTGAAGAGTTTGAGCTGTAGAAGCAATAATACAGATTGAACAGGCTGATGATTTATTGGATTACCTGGTAATAAATACAGTTTTTAAGATTAAATAAAATATTAATATGTCTGAAAGGAGGAGATCAGCTTCCTCCAAAGGGTGGCTGGGTTCTCTGTCCTCTTTGGGCCTCAAAGTAGAGCCACTCCTCCACATCAAAAGGAGGCAGTTGAGGTTGTCAGGCATCTGACTAAGACTGACTGGGCTGACTGACTTGACGCCTCCTAGTTGAGGTGTTTCAGACATATCCTACCAAGAAAAGTGGAGCTAAAGGAGGTAGAGTGGGGAGAGGCAGCTCTCAGTGTCTCTGCAGACTGCTGCCTCCATATTCTGAACCGGCATGTGGCAGAAAATACGTGCAACAGCTGTGGTTTACTTTCGGTATCATTCAGCTTCCAGATGTGTGCTACTCGTGGTGGGTTTTGGCCTCGCTGAAAATCATCGGCAGGATCCGCTGGATTGACAAAGACAAGCTGCGAAAGTTTATTTTGGCCTGTCAAGACGAGGAGACGGGAGGTTTTGCCGATAGACCAGGAGATATGGTGAGAAGAATTTTAAGAATCTAAATTTGAATATTTATGTTTTGGACTGAAAAAAAGTCTTTGCATGTGAGGTAAAGCAGGTGGTTTCAAAGACACTGAGTGCGAAGTGTTTTGGTCCACTTCTGTGGCCCACTTTTGTAGTATTTTCTCTATAATCAGTCTTATTGATTCCTATTAATCCTCCTTTGCAGGTGGATCCTTTCCACACCCTGTTCGGGGTTGCAGGTCTCTCCCTGCTTGGAGACGAACAGATCAAACCGGTGAATCCGGTGCTGTGCATGCCCGAGGACGTCCTTCAGCGTATTGGCCTGCAGCCTGACCTCCTCAGCTAACCCTCTGATGCATCACACAGACACTTTTTCCACCCGCACAAAACAGAAGCTCATGGCACGGCTGGATTTCGGGTGCACAGAGTCTCACAGTTTGGACATGACTTCCTCTGAACCTCTCTGTTTTAATCCTCCTGCTACTCATCGAGTCGGTGTTCTCGTGTCACTGCAACGAAAGGAGGGGCTTAAAAAGATGCTTTGAAGTGTCATCATCTTTGCAGAAGGCTGGAAATCATGCAAAAACATTCAACAACATGCAACAACAACTTCTCAACCTACTCACTATGTCAGTTTGAGGGAGAAAATGTGAAAGTTTGCTCACAGTTAAAATGTTTCATCTTCCTGATGTTATCACCTTCCAGCTTGTCCTCTAGCCAAGAAGCTATTAGTGTTATGAGTTTCTTTGGCCAGAAGTTCCTTCTATTCTGTCCTATCGTGCTTTATTATCATGTTTGTTACTGGAATGACTGGGAATATTCATAGCTTATCAGCTTTGACCTTGAGAGTGAAGAATGGAAGCGATGAGTCGGATGAATTCGGCTGAGGGAGAAAAGGTAAAAGTTAGATTTGCTGTTTTAGTATGTTGTCACACATAAAGCTAGAGCTTTTT